CCTGTTGTTCTTGATGTATTAAACCTGAAGTCAAAATGGTGTTGGCAGGCCGCAGAACATCTCCAACTGTAATGAGGTACACTTGTATGGCAGGGTCTTTCCCTCCAATTATTTTACTGATGGACTGGCTGGTCATGGCTTCAACTCTTTTGCATGAGGCAGTTGCTGACTCAGCAAGATTTATCCCCTGGACACATCTCTAGATAGTCCCCTTCTCTGCCAAAGGCTAATCTGTAAACTTCTCCTTGGTGATGCATGTCAGTAGTAGATCACAGTCATAAACTGGCATAGAAGGCTCGCTCCTAAAAAATATACTGTATGGTAGTGCTTCATAAAGGTAAGGAGCTGAAAGATAATTCTGTTTACAGGAAGAACAATCATGTTGATTGAGTAAAACCAATGACTGGTGGAATAAGACTTAGAACATAGGACGTGCTATAGTAAAGAAGGACATGAAATAAGTGGGTGGCAGAATAAATTTAGTGTCAAACAGAGTCAAAACAAGAGTGGCCAAGTGGAGGAGGTTGATAGTCAAGGGTTTTTCTATATGATGAGAGGCAAGGGGACATGAAGTTGGGGGTTGGTTGTGATATGTGAAATTAAAAAGAGGATCATGGTGGATAGATAACAACAAATGTAGTACATGACTGAATGTATTATAAAGGTAAATGAAAATTAAGCTTAGATGATGGATGGTATGGACATGAAATGGATGGCCAGGAATAATGTCAGGAACAATCCACAAATGCCCCCAAAAAACAGATTAATCTTTAACATATTCTATTCTGACACAAATTTTGCAAATCTAATGTCAAACCATCACAGTTTAGCTTTGACTTTAGTACTGACTCCACTGGTAAGTTTATTTTAATATGGTCTTATAAGGTAAAATCTAGGAGTCCTGAAAATACAAGAAAGTAAGAAATGAAGTCGAAGCACAGAAAAGAACATTTGAAGACAGGTGGAAGAGAACACAAAAGATTCTACTCTACCCTAAGTTTCCAAAGTCTTCCTATAATTTGTTATGCCAGAGAGAAATTCCAAGGTCAAGTACTATTCAAATTATCTTAATTCATTCTACAAAAATGTCAAACGTCTTGTCTAGTATGGTCACAGAGTTCTTAATGCCTATTGGCTGTTTAGAGCAGTGGAAATTTAAATGCTTTAGAACTGGGAACCCCTGGTTCGTATCCTGTTTGATCACTTCACCAGTTATTGTCCTTGGGCAAGACACTTATATATCTGCCTACCTGAAATACTCATAGATGTAAGCTTGTTTAAGCAGGGCATTCTTTAGGTCTGCTTTCTATAGTTGTGAATTGTGGCATAATATATTAATGGGATTAATAATCTGTGTTTTGCCCATCAGTGCATATTATGAGAGCGTAAGAACATAGCCTGACTATCAAGAACATTTTCCTCAGACTGGGTTACATATCAATCACAAGGCTAAAGGAATAGTTGTGTCCGATTGATTAGTTACAGAATCCACTGAGAACACATCCTAATCTGGACTGGTATAAATGGTATAACAGTAAAACACAATGTAGCTTTGTCAAACACACATTACTATGAGTGTGCATGCTGTGAGATGACAACAGTCAATAGAAGCAACCAATGGGTCAATTAACTGTAAAAGGCATGTCCAATCTATCGCTAGTACATAAAAGTAAATACACCTGTGTAGTTCAATCGAGGAAAATATCTCAATCTGTGATGGTCCATTCACTAAAGTGAGACTCCAAAGTTAACGGAACACTCCACTGCCTATATGGGCAAAAACAAATTACTGACGAAATGCAGCCTTCGAAAGTCCTCCTCTTTTTTACCGGAAAATAATTTCAGTCTCTTCACAGGGAAAAAAACAATCAGATGTCTGGAGGAGCTGGTCTGACGTCTGTATGGGAAGAGGCAGGGCAGCTAATGAAAGGAGGCTGCAAACCTCCCTAGATGTTTGATTGACAGCCAGGACGGAGTTCGATTTTAATTTGTAAGAGTGTGTGGTTTCTCATAGAAATGCTTACTTTTATAAACAGGGGTTAAATTAGAGTACTCCTCACCTAAAAAGCACTGTAGCAAGCTGAAAAGCTTTTGGGGTTTTGACAGGTCCTTTAACTTCAAAATTTAGGCCAAAACATCTGAATTAGATTTAGATTTTAAATTCATAGAAACATAGAAACATAGAATGTGACGGCAGATAAGAACCATTCAGCCCATCTAGTCTGCCCAATTAGTCCCTAGTCTTATCTTATAGTTAGGATAGCCTTATGCCTATCCCACGCATGCTTAAACTCCTTTACAGTGTTAACCTCTACCACTTCAGCTGGAAGGCTATTCCATGCATCCACTACCCTCTCAGTAAAGTAATACTTCCTGATATTATTTTTAAACCTTTGTCCTTCTAATTTAAGACTATGTCCTCTTGTTGTGGTAGTTTTTCTTCTTTTAAATATAGTCTCCTCCTTTACTGTGTTGATTCCCTTTATATATTTAAATGTTTCTATCATATCCCCCCTGTCTCGTCTTTCCTCCAAGCTATACATGTTAAGATTCTTTAACCCTTCCTGGTAAGTTTTATCCCGACAATCCATGAACCAGTTTAGTAGCCCTTCTCTGAACCCTCTCTAAGGTATCAATATCTTTCTGAAGATACAGTCTCCAGTACTGTGTACAATACTCCAAGTGAGGTCTCACCAGTGTTCTGTACAATGGCATGAGCACTTCCCTCTTTCTACTGCTAATACCTCTCCCTATACAACCAAGCATTCTGCTAGCATTTCCTGCTGCTCTATTACATTGTCTGTCTACCTTTAAGTCATCAGAAATAATCACCCCTAAATCCCTTTCCTCATATGTTGAGGTTAGGACTCTATCAAATATTCTGTACTCTGCCCTTGGGTTTTTACGTCCAAGATGCATTATCTTGCACTTATCCACATTAAATGTCAGTTGCCACTATTCTGACCATTTTTCTAGTTTACCTAAATCATTTGTCATTTGGCTTATCCCTCCTGGAACATCAACCCTGTTACATATCTTAGTATCATCAGCAAAAAGACATACCATACCATCAAGCCCTTCTGCAATATCACTAAAAATATTAAAGAGAATGGGTCCAAGTACTGAGGTACCCCACTGGTGACAAGTCCAAGCTTCGAATATATTCCATTAACTACAACCCTCTGTTGCCTGTCACTCAGCCACTGCCTAACCCATTTAACAATATTTGAATCCAAACTTAAAGATTTATTTGAATTTATTTGGAATTCCTGGCACTTCTCACTACAGTGAAAAACCCTGTTAATGAAGAGAAAAAAATTAATAACAGGTGCTCTCCCCAAAATATAATTTTAATGTGGTGTCATCAGAAGAGGTGTGTAATACAGATGTAAATATAGGATTATTGTATACGTGTCCAATGAAACAGGAGACAATTTTTCATTAGGGACTCATTTTGTGGTTTATGTTTATTCTTAAAAAAGACATGACTATCTTATACAGTACAGGTGTCACATTCGCCAAAGGTACTCACCTGTCCTGGGGCGCCCACGATGCCATGGAGGTCAATCTTCAGTGGTCATAGTGCCTGTGGCTGCTGTACTCCAGTCAGCATCCTTTGATCCTCAATTTGTGGTCAGAGTCAGTGGGTTGTTACAACAGGTTCTAAATTGTAAGCTCTTTCTACCATCAACCTATTGTTCCTGTAACATTTTGTAATTGTCTTATTTACTGTTAAATTCCCCCTTTTATAATATTGCAAAGTGCTGTAGAATACAGGTTGAGGCTTAGAAAGAGGAATTCTTAAAGTCCTAAAGGTAACAGTCTTTTCAATGAGGTAAGGTTAATGTGGCAAGCTTCAAGATACTATAAACATAGTATTCTACTTTCTACATTTAAAGATCAATGATAGAGATGTCCTTATATCTGAGAATAAAAAAATAACCAAACAAAAAAAAGTTTTTGTTAATTTGAAAATAATTTAAATATTTAAATATAAAATAAGACCATTCATATGCTCCTTTGTCAAAAAAAACCCAGCAAAGCTAGCTGTTTTTTCCTTTTTCAGAGCACTATTGTATTTCAGACAGCAATAATATTAATAAAAAAGTGCTTGAATAATATATATCTACACAAAAAGCACAAGTGGAAATCCAGCTAAAAAGGTCTGCAGCAAAAGTGTTTATTGTGCATATTGTTGACAGTTACAATGGATAATGTACGTTAGACATTAGCATTCATGTCAAAGTGGTTCCCTAGCTTCAAAGAGAGGTCATCCATATGAAATGCCATTGCTCTGCATTATTTTTCATTTAACCAGGCACTCGATTATTCAGGATCATTTAATAAAAGATGAATTTGCAGCTAAGACTGACTTTCTCCACTTTCACCTGTTAGAAGAGGAAAAGATCATGCAGATTGCGAAACGTTCATGCAGACCGAAGACTGCTAAAAAACTAGGAAGGGTAATTCACAAAAGTGAGAATTCAAAGTGAATTTCACCTTTTAGGCCAAGGTGGCCACACTAGATGTATACCTGACTTAGATAATTTTTTACAATTTTGGCTTTACATGTAGAATTCACTTGGAATTCTCACAAGTGTATAGCCCTGTAAAGCTTGCTGCAATGCTTATGTTATATATAAAACCCACAAAGAAAACAAAAACTATCCCTTACTGAGATAGTGAGTGATATACTAAAGTGCCTGAATAAAAGCAGCTCAACACAAAAAGTGGAATACCTTAATCCACAATAAAGTGCAAAATACAAGAAAATGCAAAATACAAGAAAAAAAGGTATAAACAATATACCAGCAAGTGGAGCGCTATATTGAATATATATATAAATAATGAGGGGGTATACTCACCCCTCCAACATAGTGATACAATGTGTCCAAATGTACATACAAAGTAAAACAACAAAAAGAGAGAATATAGTGCAGATGGTTTACAAAAAATAAAAAAAAAATGAATAATGGTAGCAATTGGTTGAAACCACTCACGTGGGTTGGAGCCTATAAGCTATTGGCTCCGTAAGTGACTCCTTCTTGCTCTTGAGGCAGCAACACACCTCTTTATCCCAAACGATATTCTCCCGAAGATATGGAACAAACAGAGAGAGAGAACCTCATAGGTGGTATTGTACAGATGGTGTATACAATATAGTGAGATAGTAATAAATATGCTCACCTTAGACAGAGCCTTGAATTCCTGGCTCTGAGGTTTGTTGGCAATGTGCTAATTTATTGGGATAGCATTCCCCACATGGTGTTCCTGGAGGCTAGAAAGGACTATATGGACTAATATATAAAAAAATAACAATTTATTGTAGAGATAAAAAATAATAATAAAAACAATATTTAGACTTCTCAAAAGCACATAAGCTAAATGATGGAAAGTCCAAGTATAAAAGTCCAAACTCCAGCTAAACGCGTTTCACTCTTGTATGAGCTTCCTCAGTAGCTGTGAAGTAGCCTCAGGAATCTTCCACTTTATAAGTGCTCTAAAGTTGATTCGGATCCTCCCTTTGAGGTCACATGATGTGTGATTATCCAATCATAAGGTCAGAGTCTCTTTCAAATTTCTTATATTGATCACCTGTAGTAGAAAAGCTTACATTGGCTAAATTGCCTGTCAATCAATCAAAAAGCTTGATTATTATTGGTGGTTGGATGGTGCTGTATTTTTCAAATTTCCTATATTGATCACCTGTGGTAAAAAAGCTTGCATTGGCTGAATTGCCTGTCAATCAGTTAAAAAACTTATTCTATTGGTGGTTGGATAGGGCTGTCTTTCTCAAAAATTTTTTATACTGATCACCTGTGGTAAAAAGGCTTTCATTGGCTGAATTGCCTGTCAATCAATTAAAAAACTTGATTAGAACAAATTCTATTGGTGATTGGATGGGGCTGTCATGTATAGCACCCATTCAGGGCAGTGGTTGGCGGAAGTGACATCACTTCCGCCCTCCAACATCTTCCCAAATGTCATTGTTAAAAAAAAAAAAAAAAACGGAATGCATATTAACAAAGTGAAATAGATAGATAGGTACAATAACAGAGAGATTTCCCTCAAATATAAAATAAAAGGGATTACCAAAATGGGGGTCGATTAAAAACTTACTGGATGAGAGAGTGCAATCAAGACAAACTTCTCCCATTGGATTTCAAGACTTCATTTTATAAGAGGACATAAAACCAAATGGCATAAATTTTGATAGTACAGATATAATATTGCAGATGGTACAAATATAATATGATACTGTTGGATATATGTTAAGGATAATTAAAGGAAATGACAGAGTTCGAAATCTATATTTAAACCTTTGGGTTGTAAAGTCCCAAGGCTAAAAATCCATCTCATTTCATTTTGAGCTAAAATTTTGTTAAAATCACCGCCTCTCCAATTTCCTAAAGTTTTGTGTATGCCCATAAATATGAGCCCCTGAGGATTGCTGTTGTGTGTAGTCTTGAAATGATTGGATACACTGTGTCCTTCATATCCCTTCTTAATGTTCCTTATATGCTCTTCTATTCTAATATGCAGATTACGTTTTCTGCGGCCCACATACTTGAGGCCACATGGACATTCCAACAGGTACACTACATTGGTTGAATGGCAAGTGATGAGATTGTTTATGTTGAACTCTTCATTTTCTTTAGTACTTTTGAATTTCCCTATATGTCTTTTTTTGCTTCCAGTGTTCCTGCACGCCAAACATATTCCACAACCAAAGAAACCTTTCCTAGTATCAATTGGCTTTATGCTGCATGGTTTTCTGATGTGGTTCCTTACTAGTAATTTTTTCATGTTAGGTGCCCCTCTAAAGATCACCTTGGGTTTGTCTGGTAGAATGGTAAACAGGACTGGGTCTTCCTTTAAGATTGACCAGTGTCTATTAATAATTTTTCTTAAATGACGGTTACCATAACTGTAATTACAGAATATAGGTATGTTGCCATTATCATTAAATCTTTCTTTATTCTCATTAATCCCTTTATCTATTAATAGGGTTTCTCTCTTATTTGCCATCACTTGATTGAGATCTTTGGTTAGATCATCTTGTTTATATCCTTTTTCCAACATTTTACCTTCTAATTTATGTGACTGTTCAATAAATTTAGTTTCCTCAGTGCAGTTCCTTTTTATCCGGATAAATTGAGATTTGGGGATTCCCTTAAGCCAAGGTGTAAAATGACAGCTCGTGGTGTGAATAAAACTATTCACATCTACTTTTTTAAAATGAGTGCTAGTTTTGATTTTATTATCTTCAATAAAAATGTCAAGATCTAAAAAATTCACTCTCGTTTTGTTAAAATCCGTAGTGAGGGCTATGCCCCAATCATTATTGTTCAATGTATTAATGAAATCGGTTAGTGATTCTTCTGTTCCTTCCCAGATAAAAAACAGGTCATCTATGTAACGGCGATAGGTAACGAGGCCCGTCGCCCAGCCCGCCCCATGATGGATAAACTGGAGCTCCCAATATGCCATAAAAAGATTGGCATAGCTGGGCGCGAACCTCGTTCCCATCGCCGTCCCACAGGCCTGTAAATAAAAATGTCCATCGTACCAGAAATAATTGCTGGTTAAAATTAAAAGAATCCCTTGCATAATAAAATCTATATGGTCAGGGGAAAAATTACCTGATTGCTCTAAGAAAAACCTGGTGGCCATACAGCCCCTATCATGTGCAATATTGGTGTAAAGGGAGCTCACATCAGCAGTGGACAGAAAATAATTTTCGTTCCACACCAATTTTTCTATGTGTCTTAATATATCCCCAGTATCCTTCAGATAGCTGGGTATTCCTTGAACAATTGGTTGCAAGCATTGGTCTATATATTCAGATAATCTACAGGACACAGAACCAATGCCTGAGACTATAGGCCTCCCTGGAGGTTGAGTGGGATTCTTGTGGATTTTGGGGAGGTGGTATAGTACTGGAATTCTTGGGAAATCAATTTTTAAGTAATTAAACTCTTTTTGGTTCAAGATCCCATTTGTAAGTCCTTCATTTAGATAATTATGGAATTTGTCCTTGAGATTCTTTGTAGGATCTGCTCCTAATTTTATATAGGTATTGGTGTCCTCCAGTAATTTGTATGATTCCTTGTTATAGTCATCTAATGTCATTAAAACTACACCCCCCCCTTATCGGCTGGTTTTATAATTATTGAATTATCTTTCTGGAATTTCTTCAGGGCCATACACTCTTTCCTGGTGAGGTTCTGTTGATGTTTATTGGGTTCTTTAATTTTATTTATATCTCTCATCACTAATTTTTCAAATGTTACCATTTCACCTGATATTAAGTTTTTGGGATAGAACTTTGATTTTTCTTTCAAGTTAGTATGTTTATAGACATCATGTTGTGTATCTTCAGAATTAGTTAAAATAGGATTCTTGTAGAAAAATTTCTTTAGACATAATGTCCTCTTAAATTTATTTAAATCAGCATATGTCTCAAATTTATTTAGCTTTTTAGTTGGTGCGAATTTCAAACCCTTCTGTAACAATTTGATTTGAGGAGAATTCAAGACATATGGTGTTAGATTGAAAATCCCTGCTTGTTTTTCTCTATCTTTCATATTTACTGGTTTCGTCTGTCTCTTTTTTCTCCTCTGAAGGTTCGCTCCTCCTCTAACTCCCCTTCCTCTATACTTCTCCGTCTCTTCTGTGGTGATCTCTGTTGGTATTGGGGTTTGTGTTTGACTCTGTTCCTCAAGTTCCAAAAATCCCCTTCCTGAGGGGTTCTGGCTAAGGTCTCGAATCTATTGGAGATAGGTATATGTGACAACCTCCTTGTACTTTTACGGATTTTACTTTGGGCCGTTAAAAACTCGTCAGATCTTGCCCTTCTTTCTGTTCTTATTGGGGTTCTGATATTATCTTGGATATATGGCCTCGACACATGTGGTTCTCTTGTTTTCGTGCTTGAAACCTTAGGACGGTTCCATTCATTAGTGTGATTGGTTGTCCTGTATTCTGTTCTATTTCTAGGCCCATTTTGGAAATTGGGTTCATGGTACCTGTTTCGGATATTATTTTGATAGTGTCTGACTGAGTGTTGTGTTTTGTTTCTATCGCCTTGTCTGTATATGGGCTGTTTTCTATTTCCATATGTGTAAGCTTCATTCTTATTGTAATCAGTCCTATCACGTGTGTATTTTTTCTTTTTAATTTGGATTGTATCTTTTTCTACTTTTTCTAGGGTGTGTTGTAAATTTTCGGTGATTTTCTTATATTTCTCGGAATTAGTGTGATTTAATAAAAAATTTTGTTCCTTATTGATTTCTGCATCAAGTTTTTCCAAATTATACTCTCTTCGCTTAATTAAAGTTCTCATCATTGTGAATGAAAAAGAATCTAACATCACTGCCCATTCATCCATAAATGTTTTGTCATCTTGATCAAAGGAGGGAAACTTGGAGAGCCTCAAACCTCTCGGAGTTATTTTATCTCTGATGTATTTTTCTAGGGTAGCTATTTCCCATTTAATTCGTATTTCTTTACTTAAGAGTCTCTCCAAATTTCTCTGGCAATCTGAGATGGATCTCTCCTCAACTTGATCAATTTGGTTGAAAAGATTCTCTTCCCCACCAAATAATTCATCTATATTTTTGCAGTGGTGTTTTTTTCTTTGTTCGAAAAGTGACATACTGCAGGCAGGCAAAATAGTGTACACACAAAAGGTATTTGGTATGAAACACACAAAGAAAACAAAAACTATCCCTTACTGAGATAGTGAGTGATATACTAAAGTGCCTGAATAAAAGCAGCTCAACACAAAAAGTGAAATACCTTAATCCACAATAAAGTGCAAAATACAAGAAAATGCAAAATACAAGAAAAAAAGGTATAAACAATATACCAGCAAGTGGAGCGCTATATTGAATATATATATAAATAATGAGGGGGTATACTCACCCCTCCAACATAGTGATACAATGTGTCCAAATGTACATACAAAGTAAAACAACAAAAAGAGAGAATATAGTGCAGATGGTTTACAAAAAAAAAAAAATGAATAATGGTAGCAATTGGTTGAAACCACTCACGTGGGTTGGAGCCTATAAGCTATTGGCTCCGTAAGTGACTCCTTCTTGCTCTTGAGGCAGCAACACACCTCTTTATCCCAAACGATATTCTCCCGAAGATATGGAACAAACAGAGAGAGAACCTCATAGGTGGTATTGTACAGATGGTGTATACAATATAGTGAGATGGTAATAGATATGCTCACCTT